GGGCCCCCGAGGGGGCCCCCGAGGGGGCCCCCGGGGGGGCCCCCGGGGGGGCCCCCGGGGTGGCTGTGTATGGGGTTTTGCATGCAGCGAGGGTTGTGGGGCTCTTTGTGAGGAGGTTTGGGGACTTGACGGAGTTTGCTGCTTTTAATGTGACTCCGAGTGAAAAGGAGGGAGTTCCTCCTTGCTTTTTAGGGTTTAAGACGTGCGCAAACCCTAAACCCTAAACCCTAAACCCTAGGCCCCAGACCCTAGGGGTTCTTTTGGGGCTTGAGTTCGGCCGCGTGGCTTCGCTTGGAAATGCAGGAACCCGCACACGCCCTTTGAAGCAAATAGAGGCAGTGCGGAGGGATCTAGGGTTTAGGGTTTAGGGTTTAGGGTTTAGGGTTTAGGGTTTGCACGGGTCTCTGCGGGGCTCAGGCTGGAAGACATGCAAGATTATGTGCTGGAGCTTTTTAAAAGAGACCCGAGGGTGAGAAAAGGGAATAAGCAGCTGGTAGAACTTAGCAGCGGCCAAACTCTAAACCCTAAACCCTAAACCCTTTTTTTGTGTCCTGCAGATGAAGAGGAGCAACGGGGCTGTCACTGCGTGGCTCTTCAAGTCGAAAACTTTGTAAGGGCAAGGGGACGGGGCGCAGCCAGCGACGAGGGCTCAGGGTTTAGGGTTTAGGGTTTAGGGTTTAGGGTTTAGGGTTTGGGGTTTAGGGTTTGGGTGTTTTTGCAGACACACCGCAGCCCCCAAACGAGCGAACTACAGCGTCGCAAGAGAGGTCAGCAAAATAAAAAAGAGGAAGAGAAAATTGAAAAAGAATTGTTTATTTATTTATATATTTTTTTTTATTTTTTTATTTAGTAAAAGAGACACAGCAGCAGCAGCTGAGGGTTTGCGTGTCTTGTTTGCTGCAGACGAAGGGAGACCGTACGAGCCGCGGGCGCCGCCGAGGGTTTAGGGTTTGCTGAGTTAAGGGTTTAGGGTTTAGGGTTTAGGGTTTAGGGTTTAGGGTTTGGGGTTTGGGGTTTGAGTGCTGTGCCTCGCAGGTCTGTCGCAGCTACAGGATCTGCGGGAGAAAGGTGAGGCGCCCTTGCTGAACTTGCATTTAGGGTTTAGGGTTTAGGGTTCAGGGTTTAGGGTTTAGGGTTTAGGGTTTGTGGTTTGGGTGCTGCAGATCCTAAATATGATGCCAAGCTGCTCTATACGAATATGTATAAGGCCACGACCGGCAGGGAAGCAGACCCGGAGGTCTTCGCGCTGTGAGTTTAGGGTTTAGGGTTTAGTGTTTAGGGTTTAGGGTTTAGGGTTTGAGGCTTGGGGCTCGCGCGTGAGGTTTGGGGTTTTCGGGTTAAGCTGCTAGGTGCAGGGCTTAGGATTTTTCGGTTTAGCGTTAAGGGTTAAGGGTTTAGGGTTTAGGGTTAAGGGTTAAGGGTTAAGGGTTTAGGGTTTAGGGTTCAGGGTTGAAGGTTTAGGGTTTAGGGTTTGAGGAGGCGTGGGGCAGCACCGCAAGCAGCGAATCGCCGCGCGAAGGGAAAGTGACACAAAGAGGAAACCTTCAAATAAATAAATTAATTAATTGAATTAAATTAAATCAAAATTAAATTAATTAGTCAAAATATAAAATAAATAAAATAAATAAATAAATAAGTAAATTTGTTTGCTGCAGCGAACAAGGAGTGGGAATGGAAATTCAAGAAAAGTCCGATTTGAAAAACCGCCAGAAGTTTATGTCGCCTCAAGAGCTGGTGAGACACAGCAGCAGCAGCAGCAGCAGCAGCGGCAGCAGCAGCAGCAGCAGCAGGAGTGGGGGGTTTCATTTGCTTGTTTTTGGGGTTTTGCTTCTTTTGTTTTTTTTTCTTTTGCAGAAGGACGAGATGTAGATAAAGCCTTTTGCTGCTGGGCATTCTTGACGCATTTGTTGCAGCAGTTGCTGCTGCTGCTGCTGCTGCTGCTGCTGCTACCGCGGCACTGGGTGCAGCAGCGGCGTTCGCTGCTGCGGTTGCTGTTGCTGTTCCTGCTGCTGTCTGGGGCACGGGGCACAGCTCCTGGGTCTGCTGCTGTTGCTGTTGCTGCTGCTTGTAGCGGCACTGGGTGAGCTGCTGCTGCTGCTGGCAGCAGGTGTACAGACACCTGACGGGACAACGGAAGGCGCAGCAACTTTCTGCTGCTTGTGGCTTCTCTTTTTAGCTTTTAATTTGTCTGCAGCAGCAAAAGCAAAAGAGAAATAAATAAAAGCAGCAAAAAGAGACAAAAAGAGAAAAGACAGAAGGAGATAAAGGGGCAGAAGCAAATAGATACAACTGCAGCAGCAAAGCTCGAGAAACGCCGTGCCGCTGCTGCTGCTGCTGCTGTTACTGCTGATGCTGCGTTGCTGCTGCTACGACTGTTGCTGCTGCTGCTACTGCTGCTACTGCGTTGCTGCTGCTGCTGCTGCTGCTGAACCCGTTTTCCTCTGCTGCAACCAAGTAAGCAGCTGCAGCAGCTCTATTTGCTGCTGCTTCTCTCGTGTGCCTTTAGTCCTTTTGTTTTTACTCTATTTTAATTTTATTCCTGATTCCTGAAGCTGCTGCAGCGCGAACGAGTGCCCAAGAGCCATTTAGCTGCTGGGCTGTGTGGGGCCCTGCAACTCTTTTGCTGAAGGTTTATGAAACCAACAGCAGCAGCAGCAACAGCAGCAGCAGCAGCAGCAAGAAGAGTAGGAGCGGCAGCAGTACGGCAGCTTTAGCAGCAGCAGGAGCAGCAGCAGTGGCGGTAGCAGTGGAACTGGCGGAAGCAGCAGCATGGCAGTAGCAGCAGCAGCAGCAGCAGAAGCAGCAGCAGCAGCAGTAGCAGCAACAGCAGCACAGCAGGATTGGAGATGCTGACGAGACCTCACTGAAAATATTTGATGCAGCAGCAAAAAGAAACAAAAGAAGTTAAATAAATAAAAGAGAAAAAACAGCAGCAAGAATGGCAATCATTGCAGCAGAGATGCTGCTGCAGCTGCTGCTGCAGCTGCTGCTGCAGCAACACGTGCTGTTGCTGCAGCGGATGCACGCGATGCTGCTTCCCCGAGCCGCAGCCAGGCGGGTTGCTGCTGCAGCAACAGGCGTTGCTGCTCCTGCAGCAGCAACGGGGGCTGCTGCTTTCCTCAGCATCAGTCACGCACGTTGCTGCTGCTGCTGCTGTTGCTGCTGCTGCTGCTGCTGGGCCAGGAGACCAGCAGTTTGCGTTCGAGGGATCTTTTGCTGCCTCATTTTCTTCACTGAAATAAATATATTTCTTTTTGGTTTTTAATTAATACTTTATTTGTCTTTATTTACTTTAAATTTGTTTTTAATTTATTTTATTTTTTCCATTAATTCATTTCTTTCATCTACTTCTCTGTCTTTGAAAGTGAATTAATTTTGCAGCTAAAAAGCAAAAGGGCTGCATGGCCCCACACCCTAGGAGCTAAATGGCTCTTTGGCTCAGCTGAAGCGCAGCAGCAGCAGCAGCAGCAGAGGCAGCAGCAGCAACAGCAGCAGC